AAGGACAAAGCCTGAAACAAGCCACCCCAGTCCGTTACACCGATATTACCGCTCGCCACAGATGCATTCTCATAGGAATTAGAAGACACATTGTCGTTATTACTTTCATTATCAACCTTAATAGATTCTTCTTTGTGCTTGCTGAACCTTTTCCTTACTTCAAGGTAACGATTCCTTACGTCATCGATCACTCTCTCTTCGTCTTCTTCCTGTTCCTCACCAACCAGCTTGAGTACTTCTCCTTGAGCTTCCATGAGCTTGTTCCACTCTGTCTTCATCTCGGCCTCCAGCTCCTGAAGAAAGCCCATGGCCTGATTCTCCTGTATCGCTGTCTCCATATCCGTATTACAAAAGTAGAGTAAGTAAATGATGGATTCATAACGTCTTTCTAGGCTGAGCTTAGCACACGATGAGATTCCACCAATACACGTCGTGCTTCCTCAATCATCATCCTCAACACCGCAGCCTTCTACATCTGGTAGGAACCCTGGCTCCCGCACAGCATCCATCAAACGAGAGAGGAAGAGAGTGGTTTCACAGCTCATCTATGACACTGGCAGGCTGTTATTACTCTTGATCCGGAAGTCATATAACTTGTGCAATTAATACGTTTGATCCGGGATGTCTTAAAATTTATGCTATTACTTTTGATCCGGTAGTCCTATCACTTTTGATCCGGGAAAGTCCTAAATTTATGCTATTACTTTTGATCCGGGACATCTTAAAATTTATGCTATTACTTTTGATCCAGTAGTCATATAACTTGTGCAATTTATTATTACTTTTGATCCAGGACGTCTTACAATTTATGCTATCACTTTTGATCTGGGAAAGTCCTAAAATTATGCTATTACTTTTGATCCGGTAGTCATATAACTTGTGCAAATGCCAATTATTACTTTTGATCCGGGACGTCTTAAAATTTATGCTATCACTTTTGATCCGGGAAAGTTATAAAATTACGCTATTACTTTTGATCCAGAAGTCATGTAACTTGTGCAATTAGTACGTTTGATCCTGTTATTTGTGCTTATACTGTTTTTACCAATATTAAAATAATAACAACAAAAATTTGTTAACGTTGTGTTACTTTTATTTACAAATTTCATCACAATGATCTGGAGAATAAAGCGGTAAATGTAATGCTTAGTGCAAACGTTGTTTGGCAGTGAATTAGTACATGTGGTTGCAATACATATTGCCAAATGACAGTTAGTTATGTTTCTGTGAATATAAATACCTTGTCATAAAAATAGTTGTCAACATACCAAATTTTAATAGGCAGCTAAGCTGCAAAAAGAATTTCACAATAACATCTATCATAACCATGAGATCGTAGCAAAGGATGGTGATGCATGCCTCCGTTCAGGTGTGGTAAGTGCTGGTGTGCTGCTGGCTGAAGTCCCCTGAAAAGGCATGGCTCCTCGTCTGGTGGTGGAAAGTGCGTGCGGATACAAGATACGGCACATGCTGGTAAAACCACACTAGTGTCGCTCCCCAAGTATCCAAAGCACCAACGAACTAACTGTCTGTATGCTATGTGGCGGTACTTTGCATGCATAGGTCCCTCAAATGCATTACGGCGGTATTGCTGACGATAGGCAAACCATGCAACCTGCACGCTCCATGGGTCAAGACACACGGCTCGCATACCAGGGTGATCCGTGAAGCATTTCACATTTATCATCTGAGCCTCTCCTATTTTAGCAACCACCTCTGGGATTTCTGTGCAGCACACACATTCTCTTGCCGTGGTCATAGTTTGGCAGCAAACACACCTGTTAAAAACAAGACATGGTGTTATTAAAATAAAAAATCAAGCTATACCAGGCTTTACTAACCATATTTCGTGATGAGGTAGAATTGGTATACTGATGTACTGGTACCTATCAATTTTCGAAAGCGTACTGGATACCGGCACGCACATGCTGTCTGTATAGCACATATCAGAGTATCTTTTCAACATGAACGACACAACTTTGTCTTCCATTATAAATAACTACTTTTCGATTTATTCTGCAATTTCTTCTCTGAAAACTAAAGTTATTTTGTCGATGCTATTTTTTGGCCTAAACGTAACACCTATATTGGTGTTACACGAAGCATTGTTTAGGCACTAAACTGTTTCTAGCTCCTCCAGGTAATATCTTGACAATTTACTATTTCTTCCTTATCGCGATGCGTATGGTGTATTGTGTGATCACAGACAAGGTAAGCATCGTTTCAGAAATTTAAGACTGCAAATCAAGCGTGTGTATACATGTAGTTTTACACATGATATTTAACAGCTTACTTATGTGTAACACATGAAATTTTTTATGCATACAAGGTACTACACATTATAATACATTGTTATTTACCACTTCCAAAATATTCAATTGGCCAGATGTGCTTCATTTTATTTCAGGCACCACGTTTTTATAGTAGTAACATCAACAGTAGGTAGATAGACGAGTACAGCAGATATGTAGACTAAGCAAAGGGCGCTACGAAATGTACATTTGAGCAACGTGTGCCGCTTGAATAATAGAAACTATAAATTAACAGCTAACCATTAGTATTACAACTGCTAATTTGCAATAACTAAATATAGAGGGTGCATAAATAATATTTCAGACTTGAGCCCATACTAGCTTAACAACGGCCACGAGACTAGTTATACTAGTACACACCCAACGCTGACCGACGGATTTTAGATCTAGCGTCAACCATAATATGCTTCAACATGACAACAACAAGCGTGAGCCAATCGCCATTGTACAGCGAGGTGTAGCCAACTGTTTGCAACTATAGACTATAGTGCTACTAGTCAGTTACTGAGTATAGTCACTACAAAAGTACTGTAGTTCTAGTACTACAGGTACATTAGGCTATCATTCTTCTAAAACCTTCTCAGTAATTCACTAAACATGTAAAAATGTATGCTTACCATTCTGCATTCACTCAGGCAATCGATGTTTAGTCTCAGATTATTCAACGTTGCCTGCGTCTATTACTTCCTCATCCGATGCATCTGGCTCATACATATGTGGGACAATCACTACTTCTGCTTCCATACTAGCTTCACCAGTCTCACAGAACTCAATATCTTCATTATCATGACTTTCACTTGCTGATTCTGTCAAAAAATCGCTCTGCGGTATGTTACTTTCTACGTTCGTGTCAGACATGTTCTTCAAATGACGTCACATCCGCAGCTGGGAAATTCGGCGCCATTTTCAAACGCAATCTTCGGAAATGTGTAATATAGAGCCAGCTGACCGTGTTACAGATGAATTATGCATGCTATAGTGAAATATAGACATTTATTCCCCAACATATACCAAAATTATTAGATATAATCGCATAAAAATAGATATTGCAGGTCCTCTTTAAGTACATTGTAGCCTACTCACTTTTCTTCTGCAGTCTGCCATGTGTTTGCAGGAACTTTGTTAGTGAAATCATCCAAAACCTGCATAAAATTACAGGTAGTTTAAGCAAGCATCTAGATCACAGGCAGTGACAACATATTCTGAATACTAATCCAAAAAGACAAATTGCCAACCAACTGTGGCAATAACACATTTTCATGACCTTAGTCATACTCACCTGATTTAAAAGAGTAAAACATACTCTCTGTGGATACTCATGGTCACTAATGATGACACCTGATAGATTATCTGCCCGTACATACACATGACACAAGTATCCTGCAAGCAAACAAATCCAGACAACAGTTAGACCTTATTGAATGATTTTAGCATGTAAGGAGTGTAAACTAAAAAATAAATTTTCTCAAAAGATATATTAGAACATATATGACTCACAGGATATTACGTGCCAGGGAATAAGATAACATCAATTACATGTCAACAATCTATATTCATTAATATACATACATACCTATGCAGCTATGCTATAGATAACACTATACATGTAGTCACTTTTTCCCTGTTTTATGGATTTCATCACACCATTTTCTAAATGAATGCATAACCAACACTCGAGCATAAGTATGCATAAAGGATGTGTAAGACTTACCTTGTTCTTTTACTGATGCTCTTGAGCCGACTAATGTTCGCTCCACAATGATCTGACTAGTAAACCTCATAAACTCATTTACACTATGAAAAAGAAATAGATGACATGGTATAAATAACTACTTTATATATATATCACAAATTCCCTCCTAACATAATCAATTATAAATGCATAAAATATATATAGATAGATAGATAACCAGTGCCAGAAATATATTTGGTAGCCTGATATATTAACATATACACCACACCTGTTTCTCTGAAAGTAGCCAAATGATGACAAGTCGTATCCAGCCTTCAGGGTTGAAACTTTCACACCCTTATAAAGGATGGTGAATGCATAAAGCTTCATGTCCTAACACTAGGAGATTGCCACTGGAACAATAATTAAGCAATACTATTGTGAGTTTAGATATTAAAATGATTATCTCTCAAATAAATCAAAAAATAAATAATGCAGACAAATTAGGTCTCACCTGTCTCACCTGTTACCGAACATAGCATGACAGTTAGAATTTTATGCCGTTAAAGCAAATTTCACCTGCATTCCGAAATTTGTGAAAATGCAATATGAAAATGCTGTCGGCCACAAAACACATGCACTTGTTTACATGACGTAAATTCTTCTAGACAGGTGCCCTATCACGACATGTAGACAAAGGTAATATAGTGTAGACAGTGGACACAGGGTACCAGCCAGTGATGTGGGTGAGATGCAAGTATCAGGTGCTATTAATGTGGACATAGATAAACAAATTTACTTTAAAATGCAGGTCAGTGCAGATATATTGGTGAAAATAACAATATGAGTGGTCTAAGAGATGTTAGCCTTATACCTCTATTCCACACAGACCACGAATCCTACGAATCGCCACGAATTGATAAATTTTAGGATTCGTGAGGATTCGTGGAATTTTGCAAATTTCTTGTCCAAATCGTGACGCTCTACGATTCTGTTACGATAGAGTTACGAATATTCGTGGGATTCGGCTCGAATCGCTCAAATATTGTCAAGAAACGATTTACAAGAATGCGATTACGAATACTGCACGAATGTTAGGAATTAGTTACGAATCAGTGAAGAATATGCCGAATGCATCTACAAATCAGGTATATTGAATTTGTGACTATTCTTGACAATTCGTGCGATTTTCCCTCAAGATAGGTATAGCCCTCACCCCTGCTTGAAATGTTGGACCTTTGGGCGTGTGATCAAGGCATCAGTTCCAAAATGGATGTTAAACGTAGAGCAGCTGTAGTACTGGCCCTGGAACTGGAGTATCAACACCAGCTGCTGAAAGCTAGAAGAAGACTGCTTCGAAGAAGAAGGAGAAGAGCCCCCAGGTGGTAGGTTAGACCGTGGCTGACACCAGCTAGAAGGCTAGAATATGGTCACTACAACAGACTGATACAGGAGCTGAGGGTGGAAGATGAGAATGCATTTGCCAACTATGTAAGAATGCCACCCCACATGTTTGATGAGCTACTCAACAGGATTAGCCCAGTAATCCAGAGGGACACCCACATAAGACCAGCCCTAGATGCCGGAATGAAGCTGGCCATGACTCTCAGACACTGGCTACAGGAGACCGGTATTACACCCTCCAGTATGACTTCCGATGTGGCTACAGCACAGTGGTATGGAGGGTGCAGGAAGTCTGTCAGGCCATCATACAGGAGCTGAAGGATGAAGTCATGCCACTGCCAAGGACCAAGGAGGACTGGAAGGCCATTACCCAGCAGTTCTAAGACCGGTGGCATGTTCCTCATGCCCTGGGGGCCTTGGATGGCAAGCAGATAGCCATCAGGAAACCACACAACTCAGGCAATGTGTTCTACAACTACAAAGGCTTCTTCTCCGTGGTGCTGCTGGCCCTGGTGGGTGCAGATTCGTACGCTATCGTGAATTCGTAGATAGTTCTTACTTGCTTCGTACCTGCTTCAGCGTGTATTCGTGGGATTCGTGACAGATTATAGGCAATTCGTGGTCAAGCCACGAATTCACGAATCTCCGAATGAGTTAAGAATACCTACGAATGCCTACGAATCTATTACGATGCCTAAGAATGCACTACGAATTTGTTACGAATTAACTACGATTTTTTGGAATCGAGAGTTCATGGCCAAAATTTTGAACAGCTCAAAACTTTTGACACAAATTCCCGATCGCTCAAGAATTGAAAGAACTGACTACGAATAAATACGAATCAGTTAAGAACTTCACGAACTGATTACGATTCAACTACGAATCCTAAAATTTATCAATTCGTAGCGATTCGTGGGATTCGTGGTCTGTGTGGAATAGAGGCATTACTGTATACACTTGCTGCTATGCAAGGAATACCGGTGTGTATCAGAACAGTCAGGAAAATGCCAGAACAGTAGTTGGGAAAACACAAGAAAATCAGCATACCAGACGGAGTACTACGAGGTTCAACATTGTCAGATACTCGAGATCAGAAATCATGTCTCCACTGTTTATGCACACCAATGTAAATAATGGTAAAGATGCACTGCATGTTTGCTTTGCCTTTACTTTAGTATAGATTGGGCATATTTCCAGTGTTGAAAGGTTACACACTTGGAGCCACTTGAGTGCCAAGCACTCGCAATTTAATTCTGTGGGTACCATACATATCAGGAGTAGATAATAGGGAGGAGTGTGACATCAATAAACAAGGGAAATTCGTCATTTACTAGCCTTATAATACCTACGATTTACTACACGTAACTCATCCAACTTATGAAGAGCATATCCAACAAGCTCTCTAAAGTCTCGTGCCTAGGGGAAGTTAGACCTTAAAAACGGTGGTTTTACTTACTACCACATTCAATTCCGGCACTGGAACGAGGCTGCGAATTACACCAATTAAAGCCTAAAAAAATGCCGCGTCATAAGGGCGAGTTAACTTTTACGCCTCCAAACAACGACAAACTCAGTCATTGTTCTATATATTACTGGTTATCAAAAGCTGCTTGTCTTCGGTGGGTGTTTTTTCATCTTTTGTGAGATAAGTCCAATTCAAAATGAACTGGGAAAAACACCGTCACGAGAGTACACGCCAAAATATCCGTGAAGTAATTCGGTAAACTCAGTAAAACTAACTTACTTCAGCTGTGTTAATGTTTTTGTGTATGTCGTCTTCTATATTTAGTCAAACAGGTATATCACGCTAAATCATTCCTAACAAATTATGGTCTAGCTCTGTATTTTTAATCCGACACCACTTAGTTCATCTCTCACTTTGCTCTGTCTGCACACGGTGTGTCACAGACTTGCAGGGAGCTCGCTAGTCGCATCGCATGCAAGCTGCACGGAATTCATGCGCCGTGATGAATGGAGAGAGCGCGACGGACGGAACGGAGGAGGAGGCCGGAGGGTGGAGGAGGGCAGCGCAGGAAGAGGAGGAGGAGAGAAGTTCCCCGCACACGTGATGGCCATTTACTCAACAACGGCTCCATCACGCCGCTAGGCAAGCTCTAGCTTCATAGAGTGAGGGAGCGAGGCGAGGACGGGAGGAGTGTGCCCGGGAAGAGGGAGAGGGAGGGAGGGTGGAGCGATGGGTGGAGGAAGCGGGAGGGAGGCGAGGGGGTGGGAGAGAGGGAGTAGGGAGGGCCGAGGTGGAGAAAGAAGGTAGCAGGAGGAGGCGAGGAGGGAGGAGGGAGGAGGTGTTGCGGAGGGAGGATGGAGTTTACCGCCACGACGTGATGGCCATTACTCAACAAAGGCTCCATCACAGCCGCTAGCAAGCTCTAGCTTCATAGTCAAGGGAGGAGGGCGGTCATAGGTGAGGGGAGGAGGCGAGGGGTGGAGGGAAGGATGAGGAGGAGGAAGGATGCAGAATTCACGCACACGTGATAAGCCATAACTCAACAAATGCGTCCATCCACCGCCGCTAGCAGCTCTAGCTTCAGATAGCGGTGAGGAGCGAGGTGGAGGACGAGGAGGGGGGTGGAGGCAAGCGGGAGGAGGGCCTGGGAGGGAGGGAGGAGGAGGAGGAGGAGGAGAGAGTTCACCGCAATACAGTGAATGGCATACTCACACAAAGGCTCCATCCCACGCACTAGCAGCTCATAGCTCATAGGCTGAGGAAGGAGTGTGGAGGGCAGGGCAGGGCAGGGAGCGGTGAAGCGAGAAAGCAGGGAGGGAGGGGGAGGGAGGGAGCAGGAGGGAGGCGAGGATAAGGGAGAGTGTGAGAGGAGAGAGTTTACCGCACACGTGGATGGCCATACTCAACCAAAGCTCCATCCACGCGCTAGCAGCCTGCTAGCTTCATAGGTGAGGAGGAGGAGTAGATGAGACACGAGGGAGGAGGAAGGGGAGGAAGAGAGGAGGGAGGAGGAAGAGGTGCACCGCACACGTGATGGCCCATACTCAACAAAAGGCTCCATCCACGGCTAGGCTCTAGGGCCTTCATAGGTGAGTGCGGAGGAGGGTGGAGGGAGGGTGAAGGAGCGCGTGAGGAGGAGGCGTGGAGGAGCAGGAGGCGAGGAGGGTGGAGGGAGGAAGGAGGACGGAGCTCGACCACCTTCTCAGGCATCAGCGATACTCCAAAAACTCGCAACGAAGACGGCACATATACAACCACGGAATTACCTCCGAGCACCGCAGCGGCCCGCGCTATCACAGCCTACGCGTATACCTTGCCAAGATGAAGCAGTTGGCAAGGAGAGGACGCGCAGAACATGTCAAAGAGCAATGGGCGATGGAAAGGTCAGAGATACCGAAGTAATGATCCCAATTACGCAACCGACTTGCCACCTGCACCGCGAATGCCCTGCTGCAGTTGATTAGGTGCACTGTGTGTCGACTGTAACAGTTTGCGATGCACCTGCCGACCAAAAACAGCATTTGCACTGCTCCCGAGCCTGTGGCCCACTGCAAAGCCGGTCTGCATGCCACCAAGACGACGAGCCATATTAAGACTTGCATTATGACAACGAGCATGACGTATGTTAACATTAGGGAGCGCAGAAGTCAGGTCTCCCAAGCAGGACATATTGAACTTCCTATCGCATGGAACAAATAGACGACTTTGGCGGTTGTCCTTAGCCGAGAAACAGATAGAAAGCCAGTGTTTTGTGGCCCGCGATTCTTACTCTTGAATAACAAAGACGTGTACCGAACGAGTCTAGTACAATCGATGCAGTTTTATATATTGCGCGGCATTACGAGACAATAGAAAGTAGTGGTGCACAAGACACTGTTTGTGGCCCCGCCAATCTGGCCTGTTGAATAACAAACAGACACCAGAACGATCGGAGCACAGGATTCAGTCTGCTGTTTCTGATGCTGCCTTGCGCAACGCGATAATGTTGTCGAAATGTCACTCACTACTACTTGGACAAGGTTTTGAATAACAAAGTGTCATATTGAAATATTAGTTGTTTGTATTTGTTTGTATTGGGATTAATTCTACAGATTAAAGCTATTTAACCATCCATAATAGTGGTTTTCTTGGTTTCGAGCAAAACTGGCTCGATTTCGGGCGGATAAAATCACGGGGGAAAACAACAACTTACCGTTTAAGCCTCGTTTGTCATGTTGCCCAGGATGAGACGGCGACCGTTAGCGTGAGTCCCATTGGAGGTGTTCCCCCTGCTTAATCGCTTAGAGGACTTTTAGTGATGTTCATATTTGGTTCATTCTAGACTGGTAATGGATTGGAAAAAGCTTCTTGTTTGCAATTAGTACCAGGTCGAATTCATAAAATGCCTGGACTGTAGATAGTAGCCTGCCTCTTCTTATTTTTAGGGAGAAGAGTGAGCGAAGAAGAGAAGGTGTTGAGTAGGGGGAAGGAGGAGTAGGGCGGCGACGTGAGAAGGAGGCAGGAGGAGGCGGGGGAGCTAGGGAGGAGGAGGAGAGGAAGCGGAGGAGGAGGATGTGCAAGGTGTGATTCAGTAGGCAGGAGGAGGAGGAGGAGGCGGAGGAGGAGTGAGGGGGAGGGTGAGAAAGCTGAGTGGAGAAGAGGAAGGGGAGATAGGGAGACCGCTCGCCGCTGCGAGAATGAGAGAGGGAGAAGGAGAGCTGGTGGAGAATGAGGGGAGAAGGGTTAGAAGGTGGTGGAGGAGGAGGAAAGGAGGAGGGGGAGAGCTGGTGGAGAAGTGACGGAGGCAGGGGAGGGAGGAGGAGGAGGAGGGGGAGGAGGAGGAGCTCGGAGAAGCTGTAGAGAAGGAGGGAAGGGAGAAGGGAGAAGCTGGTGGGAAGGAGGAGGGGAGAAGCGTGGGTGGACGAAGGAGGGGGAGAGAAGGGAGAAGCTGTGGAGAA